ACTGGGTTGTTTTGAGAAATAAATGCAGTGGTGCATATAAAGTAACAAGCAGAGTATATGGCACATAGACAAATGATAGCCCTAATAGCACCCTTTCCTCTATCTATGTTGATTGTATATAGCTTGAATATTGTTGGAAGCACTAAGAATGTGTGTGACTACATGAGTGGAAGAAGATTTCTGTAATAATTTTCTTATCCAAAATTTTGTTGGCCACCATCTTCAAAATGTATGCAGAACCCAAACCTCTGGTTCCAGATAAAATAGAGTATTCCTATTGCTCTCTAATCCTATCTCCTATTTAAACAAATACTTTAAACATAATAAAACAAACATGTAGGAAGACTACAAAAGTTAGACTGAAGATGACAGATTAGCTAGTAAATAAATGGCTCTGTTGAATTCCCTGGACTCTCTTTTTTTCTTGAGAGATCTAAAGCTTAGAACTTCCCAGGTGCATGTATGTGCACTATTCTGTCACCCCTGTGATTTCTGTTGGGCTGTGCTCCACTTCTTGTTCTACTAGAAGCAGCCAAAAGAGGCACTTGTGAAAAGGACCAACATCTACTTCTTCCACTGAGCTGGTGTCAGTAGGCAGAATGGAAGCTAAACTTCCACTCTCATCTGGCAGCAAGTAAGTCAGACCACAGTGGTGTGTCCTGCTCCTAATTTATACTCCACTTTCCAAAGGGGAGCTGATCTTCCACTCCTGCACAGTAGCCATGAGGTTAAGGAGAAGAAGACAGTATTACTATTTAGCAAACTACTCCATCTGTCATGATAGTATCAACAGGGACCCAGTAGAGACTTGAACTTCTACTCCAAAGGCCAGCAGTCAGTATAAGATATTTCAAGTCAGGCTAGTCAAAACCCCATTTTCTCTTCCCCTATTGGTGTCAATGGTCCAAAGGGGAGCTAAACTTCTACTCTGTCTCAGGGGCAATGAGACAGAATGAGTGGAAATTTCACTTCCTCACTTTCCTGGTGGCACAGAGCTAAGTGGAGAGTCGAACCCTTTTGCTCACCCAGCTGCAATTAGATGATGTTCTCTGCTTTCCTTGTATCACCAGGTTCAAGTGGGAAGCTAAATATCCATCTCACCTGGATCTACATGCTGTTCTCAAACAGAATGATTACCTGCAAAGCAAAAGTAAGGTTGCCTAGGATCCAGCATCTCACAACATAATACCCAAATTTTTCAAGAAGCAATAGAATATTGGTTGTCATGTCAAGAACCAAGAAAATGTTAATTTGAATAAGAAAAAAAAAACAATTAATAGGTGCCAATGCTGAGATGACATAAATATTTGAATTTTCTTACAAGGATGTTAAAGCAGCCATTATGTTTTCAAGGGCAAATGTAAACACATTGAAACAATGATAGGAGAGGAGAGAAAGGGAGAAGGGGGGAAGGAAGGAAGGAAGGAAGGAAGGAAGGGAGGGAGGGAGGGAGGGAGGGAGGAAGGAAGGAAGGAAGGAAGGAAGGAAGGAAGGAAGGAAGGAAGGAAGGAAGAACTCAGCAAAGAAATGGAAAATATAAAGAAGAACCAATGGAAATATTAAAGCTGAAAAATGCAATAAGTGAAATAAAAATAACTCAGTGAATAGGCTCAGTATGACAGAATAGTCAGTGGATCTAAAGACAGAAACAAACATTTCCCAGTCTGAACAGAGAAACAAAATAGGCTAGAAATGTATTCACTGCTCACTACTTTCCTGTAATATCATCCTGGTTCAAGTCACTGTTGTGACTTGTATATAGAAATAATTGCCCAACTGGTCTCACTTCTTCAACCTCTGCTTCTAGAGTATATTTTATACCAAAGGTAATCATTTAAAAATATAAATCAGATCAAGTCATTCTCAGAGTCTCCCCATTTCTGTCAGAGTCAATGTTTTTAAAATAGTCTACATGGCTCTAAAGGATTTACCCCTATTGCCTCTCTGATTGCTGTAGGCAATTCATAAGATGCCCACTTGACATCTCCTCCTGGTGCTATTACCATAGTTATCTTACAAAAGAATTTTCCAACTGTAATTAAGGCTACTAATCAGTTGATCTTAAAATATGGAGATTATCTAGGCAGATGCAGCCAAATCACATAAATCCTTGAAAATCAGAGTTAAATTTAACTAGTTACAGAAGAGGAAATTGGATACATTCTAAATGTAAAAATAATTCAGTGTGCCATTGTTGCCTTGATGATTGGGAAGCACGTGGTAAGGAATGTGAGTGACTTTGGAAGCTGAGAGAGGCTTTCAACTGATGGTCAGCAAGAAAATGGGTCCCTCAGTACTTGTTAATGGCTGATATTATGTGTCAACTTGACTGAACCATGGGGCACCAGATGTTTGGTTAAATATTATTCTGGTTGAATCTATGAAGGTGATTCTGAATGAAAATGACATTTGATTGAATAGATTGAATAAAGAAAATTCCTGTCTCCAATGTACGGGGTTTGGAGGGGTGGAGCAGGACCCACCCAAATCCACTGAAGGCCTGAATAGAACAAAAAAGTTATTCTTTATTAGAAGAATTTTCCTATTCTTCCTGTATTCAAGCTGGTACAAAAATCTGACTTTTGATCCAGACTCAGCATAGGACTATACCATTGGCTCTCCTAGGTCTCCAGTTTGCCATTGCAGATCCTAGAACTTACCAGATTCCATAATTACATGAGACAATTTATACAACACACGTACATGCACAGAGAGAGGGACAGAGGGGCAGAGAGAGAGATGAATGAGGGTACTTCAAAAAGTATTATTTTAGTTCAAGAAGATTTTGGAATTTATACATAGGGACAAGTATCATGGCACAGCTGGTTAAGCTGTTGCTTGGGGTTCCTACATCCCAAATTGTAGTACTAATTCAAGTCCTGGTTACTCCATGCTTCCAATCTAGTTTCCTGCTATTATACCTGGGAAGCAGCAGGATGATGGCAAAGTACTTGGGTTCCTGCCACCCACTTAGGATACTCAGATGGAGTTCCTGACTTCCGACTTTGACCTTGCCTAACTGTGTGCTATTGCAGATATTAAGGGAATGAACCTGTGGATGTAATGTATCTCTTTTTATCTCTCCCTCTCTCTGTCATTCTGCCTTTTAAGTAAAATTTTCTTTTTTTAAAGAAAGTCTGTACACAATTTTTTATAATTGGCATTTTCTGTGAAATTTTGAGACCATGTGTATGTGTGTATGAGTGTGTGTAATTAGCAGACACTTATAAGGAATTGGCATATGAATATAGGTACACATGTATGCCTATTATATACACACATAAATATTTGCAAAAGGACTTCAAAAGTCATCAAAAATGCATATTATGAAAAAGTGCATGCATTTCAAAGTTTTTTTTTTGCACTAGAATAAATTTATCTTTTAATTCCATTTTTGAAGTACCTTCCATATGTAGACAGACACATGAGGGTATCCCTACCACCACCTATCCCTCTTATACTATTCTGCTTTTTCTTTGTTCCACAATTCTTATTGCCCTATAGCATACATAAAATGATATTTTTATTGCACCTATCTTAGTGAGCTACCTTCATTAAAATGTAATCCCACACAGGCAGGTTATTTGTTTAGTTTGCAAACATTCTAAGCACTTGAAGGAGTTCCAGGCACAGTAGTGTGTATTACAATGTATTTGCAAAAGAAAATGAATTAGCTCTATGTCAATTTAACTCTAACTTAATGCATCACCGTGTAACATATCACATTCCAAGCTATGATGTGCATTTCACACTTTAGCTCATGGTAAAGCTAAGTGTAGATATAATCTGCTGCTTTGTACATTAAAATTAGATAGTGAATAACAAACTCTTTGTGGAGTAATTTAATATAAAAATGTATTAGGTGGCTCTTTTCCATTCTTTCATCATTAAAAGCAGGAAAACAGAAGAGAAACTTCAGTGATTTGGAATGAAACGCTTGGGAGAGAAATACAAAAGACATCCTGGTCAAACCTAAGGCTTGCAGAACCCGTTTTTGAAACTAATGATATCAAAAATTGAAATAGTGCCCCTGAAAACCCCTCATAATTCTGTAATTCCCCAACTTTCTGGCTGCTGCCCAAACTGTGAACTGTTCGTTCAGTATTTGATATCTTAGCTTTCTGTTGATGATTCCCAAATCTGAATTCATGGTCCTCACTGAGGACACAGATTCCCATCCTTTATCTTCAGTTTGTTCAGAGCAGATTTACTTGTATATCCCAGCATTACCTGAAACTGAGCATGTCAACATCATTCTTAGCTCCTCATGACCCTGCTTTTCATTTCCCTTTCCTTTTGTCAATAGCGTTGATGTTTTCTTCTTCTGCAATGCCTGAGTCAGTCTCTGACTCAGTCTCTGGGTGCACTGCTTCTTCTTCCAAATACCCTCTTTCAAGTTGTCCTTTCTCTTAGGTATCACGTTTGGGCAGGCTCTCAGTTCCTCTCACCTGGGTTACTGGAATAATATCATAAATAATTTTTCTAATCTCTCATAACTGCACCTCCCTCTCTACCCACTCTACATGTAATCACTTGTTCATCTTCCCAAAGTGGTGTTAACATGCTTAATGCCTCAGAATCTTCCAATGATTCTTCTTTGCCTGCAGAGAAAATTAACAATCTAACAACAAATCCACAGGTTGACATATAAGATCTTTCATGATTTAGCTCATTCAATCTAGACTCTTGTCTCTACAAATTTATGCCTCCTTTTGGATATATCTATCCTACTGTGTACTACAGTGGTGGTTAGTGCAAGAATGGATGTCAGCAAAATGTTTTGGGATTAAGAAATTATTTTGCACATTTTGGTTACTGTGAAGAATTAAGACAACTGCCCCTAACCATAGCTTCTTTCTTGATGTGCAAATGCATCTTGCCTTGTGGAGCCATTTTCATAGGTAGTGAATTGCTTGCATCATATATCCCAATAAAAGTAAAGGCAACAGAAATCTTGAGTGGATCACCTTGTAAACTGTGTTCTCCTTTTGCTTCTACAGAGAGCCCCGGAAGGTGGTCCTGCACAAAGGTTCCACTGGCCTGGGCTTCAACATTGTGGGTGGGGAAGATGGAGAAGGTATTTTTGTATCTTTCATCCTGGCTGGTGGACCAGCAGACCTGAGTGGGGAGCTTCAGAGAGGAGATCAGATTCTTTCGGTGAGTAATTATCTTTAATTTTCATTCTCTCCATTTGTGATACCATCTGTGAAAAAGTCACATTCAATTATGACACCAGAAGCACCTTAATTACAAAGGAAAAATGGATGAGAACGTATGGCTTCATGTTCTTGAAGCAATATATGTGTTCTGCTGCTTAATGCTTAAAGGTGAAAGGGCTCATGTTGGAGCCGGTGCTGTGGCTCAGTGGGCTAAGCCTCCGCCTGCAGTGCTGGCATCCCATATGGGTGCCAGTTCATGTCCTGGCTGCTCCTCTCCTGATTCAGCTCTCTACTATGGACTGGGAAAGCAGAAGATGGCCCAAGTGCTTGGGCCCCTGCACCCATGTGGGAGACCTGGAAAAGGCTCCTGAATCCTTGCTTCAGATAGCTCAACACCAGCCATTGCAACCATCTAGGGAGTGAAGTAGTGAATGGAAGACCTTTCTCTCTGTCTGTCTCTCTAACTCTACCTCTCAAATAAATTAATTAAGTCTTAAAAAAATAAAAACTGAATGGTAAGCTTAACCAAATTTTTTTAAAAGATGCTAGTTTTTTGTTTTAGATTTCTTGATATGTATTTGCAGCCAATAGAACATTGAAAACCATGCCTTTTAAAAATTATATATTACTTATTTTATGAAAATACAGATTTGTCCCCAAAACTCATGATCATACTCCAAATATTATAGTTCTTTTATAATGCATGGTACATATAACTGTGTAAAAAGATAGATAAAATAATGCTATACACAGCTTCATGATGATAAAAGAGTGGCAGCAGCACAGTTGCCTAAGCTCAAGAATTACTAACAACGATATGTAAAGTGCTCATTGTTTAGTAAGAATTTTTAAAAACAATGCTGAAGACCACTTTATTGACATATGATTGACATAGAGAAAGCTGTACATATTTAATTTATAAAACTGGTGAGTTTGGCATTAAGTATAAATCTGTGAAACTATCACCCCAGTATTTGATCTATACAAACCAATTAGCTACAAGAGGTTTTTTTTTTTTTTTCTGTTATCCTTTATTATTCTGTATATGTATGATAGGAACACTTATATAAGACCTTTCTTCTTAGTAAATTTTTGGATATGCCATATAGTGTTTTTAACCATGGGCACTATACTATACTATTCAGCACTCATCACACCTACCCTCTGTCCGCCTCTTTACCTCCTCCCTTTATGTTTTTCTTTTCTTGCTCTATTTCCTTTTCTTTATTCAAATATTTATTGACTGTTTCTTTCCACTACACATTTTCTCTCTCTCCCTCCCTCCCTCCCCCCATTACCTCTGCCTTACACCCACCCTCTAAAGCATACAGTGTGAAATGTCTTGCAGTCAGTCTGCATGGACGGCAGGCTCTGCCCACTCATCTTGCAGAGCTCTGGAAGGATGTTAAACATGGGAAAAACAGGGTGAGGTCCATGCCAGGAATTTGGTCTGTCATCCTAGAGCTGAGAAACATCTCTTCAAAGTCTTCTTTCATCTATGGTTTGAGGAAAAATTGAATTAAAAGTATAAGTTTATGTTGTTGAAAAATAATTTTGAAATTTACCTATAATTTTTCATAGTATGCATTTTCCATGTATTATGGAAAAATGTAACAAAAAAATTGGGGGTACCAAAATAAATTCACACTTTTAAATGTATTTCCCTACAAACTGTTGGAGATAGTCTTATGTGTCTCTATGTCCGTCTTTGTCTTGTATGTAGGAAGCACCTCAAAGTAGCTCTATCATATGTGATTTTGTATCCTTCACATTTAGAATCATGCCTGGCACATACCAGAGGACTCTGTTTTCTCTGAACTTTACTACGTTAATGTTAGCATTCGAAATGCCTGAACAGAAATCTTCATAGTTTCCATGGTTGAATCTTGCCTATACGGATTTTGGATTATGTACGCCACCTAGTGTTCATGCATTATCAATACATGTTGCATAGCAATCTGAAGATGGACGGTACCCAGGCTTCATTGTAGACATTGATCCCAGACCTCCCCCTTCTCCCCTCCGCGACTCCAGCACTAAAGTCATTACGATGCTGAAAGATAAAGAAATCATCACCTTAGGCCACATCCCATACACATATTGTGAGTTATCTTTTCTCTCTAATTTCTCCTTTATGTATTCTATTTCTCAGGGACTTGTGGAAAGAAATCCAATAATTGAACTATCTTCTTGAGGGATTTGTGGAGGAGAATTTAGGGCATTCAGCATGCAATCACATTAACTAGTGCAGAAGCCTCCTCAGGCATTCTTCCTGCAGAGAGAAAGACAGAAATGCTTCTGTTGTAATTTGTTTCAATGCTCTGTTATAAAAAAAAAAAAAAAAAAAAAAAAAAAAAAGGTGGAACAGAGGCTGTAGAAGTCATATATTCCTTGAAAGAGATTGTATTTCCTGTATCTCCAAGCAATTTTGGTTTATTCGTGCCTCAGGAGTATGAAAACGATTACCCCAGATGACATGCTTACCCCAAAGCTCACTCTTGATAGACTTTAAGTATTTAACTATGTTCTGAAATACATAATTGGGAATACATGTTGCCAGAAGTGAAATGCCGCAGCTATCAAGGAGAAGTCATTGTGTTTTCAAATTAGAATTTAAATTGTGTTGTTGACTTATAAAAGGTAAAAACGAGACACAACTCTTGGGTATTTCAGTAATTCTCAGGTTACGTTGCTATCTTGAGCCCTGTAGAAGGAAAAGACATTCTTGAGCCCTTACTGTCAAGTTTTTCAAATGGAATATGAGCATTATATACACTATTTGCCATCTTGGTGTACTGGTAAGTTCACCTTCGTATCATTATCTCAAATAACAACTCTCAATCCTTTTTGATGTTAAGTCCGAGGTACACTCCCTGCCTCAAACAGCAAAAGATGTTCCAAATTATTTCTTGGATTCCCATAAAGCCCATATCTTTTTTTTTATTTTTTTTAACTTTTATTTAATGAATATAAATTTCCAAAGTACGAATTATGGATTACAATGGCTTCCCCCCCATACCGTCCCTCCCACCCACAACCCTCCCCTTTCCCACTCCCTCTCCCCTTCCATTCACATCAAGATTCATTTTCGATTATCTCAATATACAGAAGATCAGCTTAGTATACATTAAGTAAGGATTTCAACAGTTTGCTCTCACACAGAAACATAAAGTGAAAAATAATAGATGATTTTTTTTAAATGATGATGAAATCAGATCAGACCTATTGTCATGTTTAATCCCAGTGAGAGTCAAGTTGGGAGTTGATAATTTCTTTTTTTTTTTTTTTTTACAGAGGATCAGTTTAGTATGCATTAAGTAAAGATTTCAACAGTTTGCACCCCCATAGAAACACAAAGTAAAATATATTGTTTGAGTACTCGTTATAGCATTAAATCTCAATGCACAGCACATTAAGGACAGAGATCCTACATGAGGAGTAAGTGCACAGTGACTCCTGTTGTTGACTTTACCAATTGACACTCCTGTCTATGGCATCAGTAATCTCCCTATGCTCCAGTCGTGAGTTTCCAAGGCTATGGAAGCCCTCTGAGTTCTCTGATTCTTATCTTGTTTAGACAAGGTCATAGTCAAAGTGGAGGTTCTCTCCTCCCTTCAGAGAAAGGTACCTCCTTCTTTGAAGACCTGTTCTTTCCACTGGGATCTCACTCACAGAGATCTTTTGCCAGAGTGTCTTGGTAAAGCCCATATCTTCCAGCCACTGTTCCACATCTGCTATGTCCTTTCTCTCCAGCTGTGCTCCCAGTCCCCGTCCCATACTTTTCAATGCTGAGGGCTGCTGCCTGTGAGTCTGTCTGTCATTGTTTCTGGGACCAGCATTCCTTGAGATACTAAAGAGGACCTGATACTTGTGCAGAGGTAGGGTCAAGGGCCATTTCCATAGCTCTGTGCTACTTGTTCCCCAACATACTACAGCTGCAACCAGAAATCTCTCAACTAATAGCACCCCTTCAACTTTCATCCTCAAAGCGTGCAGTCTCCCAAACCCCTCAAAACCCACACACACCCCTCATGAGAAAGTATGTTTCTGCTCTAGTCAGCCATAACCAGGAGAGCATTATCCTCTGACCTTAGCTCTACCAGCTGTGTCCTCCTCCCCCTGAAGAAGGACAGCAAGACTCGGAGTCCAACCCTAGCTCAAGCAACGCATTGTATCTTTGCTAACTCAGATTATTCAACATATGCATCCAGATTAATGGCGATTTCAATTTCTTCCAAGAAAATGGGGAGATCTGTCCTGGTTATACAGCTTTGTAACTCAAGGGCCCATTTTATAACTTTTCTCAAAGAAACAGTATTTGCAGAAAGGAACACTAGGCATTTTTAGCTTGAAAGATGTTAGCAACATGTCCCTTCTGTGAGTTCCCACGCAGCCCCCTGGTCTTTTCATCAAAGTTTCAGAAACAGAAAGGTCCTATATCATTTAGGGTAAACAACTTTACAATAAAATCTAGTCAGAAGCAGTTAATGATGTTATTTGAAAGGTAAAGATTTCCTGCCCTAATTCAGACCAGTTAGAATCAGATTTCTGATTGAGAAACCATGTAGAAACTACCTCACAAAGCCGTAGTGCTTGCTCTAGGCATCTTGGCTCACTGCTGAAGCTACTGTCTCTAGACCAACTGATTCATCAGTCTCTGCCTTTTGCTTTTCTTAATTGTGGAACCTACTACCAGATTTGCCTTTCTACCTGGCTCAGACCCCATGGCCCTTCTGATCACAGAAGCGCCTCAGATAGAAACAGGTGTGTACAGTGAGAGGCACCAGGGAGAAAACTCTTCCCCAGCCTTGGTCCCAGAGCCCCTTCATCCTGGATGACTCCTGCCTTATGCCAGAGGTAGGGATTCAGCATGACCTGGATATACCCTAAGAATCTTTTTATTCTTGTTTATGGCCCAGAGCATACAAGCATCCTTCATCTCAAACTTCCAGCCATAAGAAAGAGTAAGCTTTTTAAAAATGCATATCTGGGTATGCC